ACCCCAGACTGACCAATAGGAAGCCTCCGTGCCTGGCATCAGTGCACTCTCTTTTTTTTCCTTTTAGTTGAAGAGAGGAACAGGAGGACGAAGAGAAGAAAAGAGGAGTTTGCAGCGCCCCCCCCCCCCCCCAACACCCCCTTTGCCTTTTTTTCCCTGTCTAACACCACCCTCACCTTACTTTACCCCCCACCCCCACCTCCAATTGTCATTCAATTTCTTTTTTTCTAATATTCCCGCAGCTCCCGGGGAGATTGCACAATCACGCCCGAAGTTCTAGCGCGTTAAATTGATTGTGTCTCGTCTTGTGTGTCGTCCTTCATCTGCCGCTGAAGCCATAAAATCAGCAGCCACCCCTTCCCACAGCCCCCCCCCCCCCACACACACACACAGGGATGCATGTTCTGTGCTTTGAGGAGGAGGAGGAGGAGGAGGAGGGGGGACGCGGCCGGTGCACCATCAGAGGGAACAGCATATATTCCTGACCCTTTGCAGATAATAGCCCACTGATCGTATTAAAATGAATTTGTTGAGTGTTTGCAACATGGGGGAGGGGGGGTGGACTCATGCTTTATCCTGAATGATAGAGTATTTATGAGTGAATGTGTGTGTGTGTGGGGGCGTGTGTGTGCGAGAGGACTTCGCTCTCCTGTAATTTAGATGTTTGTATCTTTTGCAATTGGTGGTTTGTGATTGGATGGTGGGTTGATTTACCTCCTTCAACGTGTGTGTCCCCCCCACCCCCACCCCCTTCCATTTTAATGTCCTCTCTCCAAGGCGGGACGGATATGAGGCGGATCATCTGATGCTGTTCCTGTTTGTTAGTGTGTTAAACGTCCGACCAGCACCGTGTTATTGAGGTGTTTGCAGAAACATGAGTGAAAAGGTTCAGACTTGGAGCGGTTTCATCAGTGTGTGAGTGAGCGCGAATTATTTTTCTACGCCGTGACACTGATTAGGATGAAAGGTAAAAGGAAAAAAAGATGAAAAGAAACAGTGCACAAGGTTTCCATTTCTCTCCTGCTTCCATGACACTGATTAATCCTGATTAAGCCACAGCCARCAGCCTGTGCGCGCCGGCCATACATCCAACTGAATTATGGGTAATGCCCAACTTAGACCCAAGTTTATATATTAAATGAATAGCAATAAATTAAAATAAATAAAAAAACATAGAGCCTAGACTTTTTTTTGAAAAGTACAATTGATTTAAAAGCTAACTTTATACTTTTTTTAAAAAACACACAAAAAATCGATTTCATGGTTTCTAATTTTAGCACTAAAGTATTAAAATGTGTCTTAAAACTGATCCTGCTGCTGTGAAAAAACTTCAGCCACGATTTAAATGAAAAAAATAATGTTATTTTATTCCTCGGAGGGTTTTGAAGCTTTTGCCATTAAAAGTGAAAAAGAAACATTAACTTAGAATAAAACTTGGAGGAATTCAAAATTATTCAAATAAGAAAGAAAGAAAGAAAGAAAGAAAGAAAGAAAGAAAGAAAGAAAGAAAGAAAGAAAGAAAGAAAGAAAGAAAGAAAGAAAGAAAGAAAGA